TGGTTTTAGAAAACACACGGTCCGGTTCAAGAGGTTCGGTTCAGCCGGTTTTGCTTAAACGGTCCGGTTCATCTAGGTTGGTTCAAACGGTCCGGTTCAAGCCGGTTTGGTTTAAGAGATCCGGTTCAAGCAGTTTGGTTCATCTGTTTTGTTTGGTTCTGTTCTGGTGGTTTGTTTTGATTTTGTTGTTTTGTTCAAATAAGTTCATTTGTTATGGCTGAGAACAAATCAATCGTCACATCTGAGGTTATCCCAATGATATCGAAAATCACAGAACATAAGTTTAATGGATCAAACTATTTTTCATGGAAAGTCAATGTTCGTCTTTTTCTGTGGAGTTTTGATATGGACGATCACATAATTGAAGATCCTCCTAAAGATGAGAGTAAGAAAGCTTGGTTGTGGGATGATGCTCGCTAGTTCTGCAGATCAAGAATTCGATCGAGGGTGACATTATTGGCTTGGTCAATGAGTGTGAGTATGTTAAAGAGTTGCTTAAATACTTAAAGTTCCTTTATTCTGGAAAAATGAGTGTGAGTATGTTAAAGAGTTGCTTAAATACTTAAAGTTCCTTTATTCTGGAAAAGGAAATGTTGGTAGAATATTTGAAATTTGCAAGCGCTTCTACCAACCTGAGTTTGGTGACCAATCGCTTACAAATTACTTTATGGAACACAAAAGAATTTATGCAGAGTTTAATGCATTACTCCCAGATAGTAATGATGCAAAAGTTCGACTTGCCCAACGCAAACAACTAGCAGTTATAAGTTTTCTTTTTGGTCTTCCACCTAGATTTGATGTGGCCAAAGACCAATTACTCTCTGGTTCGGAAATTCCAGCTTTAGAGGAGGCATACACTCAAGTACTTCGCATTGAAAAGTCACAACCCGTCTTGTCATCTCAGTCTAATAGTGCTTTGGTTGGACGTAGTACAAATGCAAACCGAGGTTATACCTACCAAGGGAATTCCACGACTTCGAATGCTCAACGTTGGAATTCTAGTGCTCCAAGATCAAATTCAAAAGATATGACATATGTGTAATTATTGTCATAAGCTTGGTCATACAAAGCGAGAATGTAGAAAGCTGTTGAATAAAGGTCAGAAAACACAGTCTGCACATGCAGCATCTACTCCTGATAGTGCCGGCAAGTTAGTTACAATTCCTGCGGAAGAGTTTGCTAAGGTCCAACCGTATCAAGAGTCATTGAAAGCATCGTCCTCTAATCCGATTACCGCCATCACTGAGTCAGGTAACACCAATAAATGTCTTATTTCCTCTGCGTCAAAATGGGTCATTGACTCTGGTGCGACAAATCATATTTCAAGTAACCCTAACTTATTTGCCAATTTCTCCCCATCTGCATCTTTGCCTGATGTTACCATAGCAGATGACACTTTCTTGGCTCTGGCACAATTCATCATTCGAAATCTCTTTCATTGACATCTGTCTTAAGTTTACCAAAATTTTCCTTTAATTTGGTCTCTGTTAGTAAACTCACTCGTGATCTTAATTGTTGTGTCTTATTCTTCCTTGGTTATTGCTTATTTCAGGATCTTACGACGAAGAAGATTGCACATGGGACATTGTAGAGTTACCAAGAGAGAAGAAAATGGTGGGATGTAAATGGGTTTTCACTATAAAATACAATGCTGACGGTAGCATTGAGAGATACAAAGCAAGGTTGGTAGCTAAAGGCTTTACTCAAACCTATGGGATTGATTATCAAGAAACATTTGCCCCCGTTGCTAAGATTAACTCTATTAGAGTCCTTTTATCTATTGCTATTAATTTAGATTGGTCGCTTCACCAATTGGATGTCAAGAATGCCCTTCTGAACGAAGATCTTGAAGAAGAGGTATTTATAGATCTACCCCCTGGTTTTGAAATTGATATTGGGAATAACAAAGTATGCAAATTAAAGAAATCTCTCTATGGTTTAAAACAGTTCCCTAGAACATGGTTTGAATGTTTTGAGAAAGCAGTCACTAGCTATGGATTTTGTTAATAATAAGAAAAGAAAATAATTCTTCATTTATTACTCCAAATGATTGATACAAGGCTATATAAATAGCAGTCACAAAGAAGTAACTAAAAAGAAATTCTTGCCTATTAGGATAAGAAAATACTTACCTATTAGAACAATAAAAGCCTAACCTAAATAAAATAGGAAACCTTTAAAATAAAATAAACTATAATTTAACACTCTCCCTCAAGCTGGTGAATGAATATTTTCCATTCCCAGCTTGTTAACCAAATGCTCAAAGTT